ACTCCCAACTGATTTGTTTTTCTCATTGTCTTTGCCAGACTTTGTTGTGATGAAATGAAAGAATTGATAATGAAGTGAGAAAGCTACCATTTTGTTTTTGGGACAATTAAAAGCACAAAAATTTATATATGGGTTCTTTTTCTTCTCATCATTGCGAATTAAATGATTAATACCTAACAATAAATTTGGTATAAAATAATATTTCCATCATTCATAACATAACTAATCACTATAATATCAACTAGCTCTTCATCTAGTGGTATGGAGAATGTTCCGATTTGAACCCTGCTCCCCCAATAATTTGTAAATATCTAATCACTATCATGCGTTAATTAACCCAATTTCATAAATTATTTGAGGCTTATCATAGTTTTATGAAAAAGAAAAGAATTTACATCAAACATTAAAATCATCGAAGTAGAATCTTTTATTGATTTGAAAATTATAATCACTAAATGTAAGAAAATTTTAGCGTTGTTATTGAGCATAACTGGTGAATATTGCTTATATGTAAAATTCAAGCAAAATTCAATGAGAATAAAATGTGTACATTATAATGAGAGGTGTAAACTTGCAGAAATAAAAGTACTTTGTGAAGAAGCACTTATAAACATAAATTCCTACAAAAGCAATTTCAAACCGAATCTCGTTATCCTCTTCATTTTCTAATCTCATCATTTGTAAAAGTACAAGCAAACCCACATAGTTAATTTGCCCTCACCCACTGAAAAAAACGATGGCTGCTGTGAGTTCATAGGCTTTTAACAATTTCCATAATGTAAGTTTGTTCATTTTACAATGCAATTAACTAGTAGTTGTTAATCAAAGCCAAAACCACTTTGGCCTTAATCAGTTTTTCACAAGTTTCAGCAATATGTGAAGATGAGCACGACATTTCACCAGCATGATGTAATGTTTCACTTTGACAACCTTACAATATCTGAAAATGGAACTCGTTGGTCCAATGTAGTACTTTAATTTGAAACCTAGACTTAAATCCAATCTTTAGCTGCGCATAGCTGAGAGACCAAGCAGTGGACCAAACAACAAACGTACAATTTTAAATTTGATACACGTGTATGCAACCAGAAGGTTGGAAATAAACCCACAAAAGTTTTGAGACCTAGGAGTAGGTACGTAGGAGAGCTTCTGGGTCTCTTCCACGTGGAGCCATAGTTTATGCTCCTAGATGATTGTTGCATGTCATGGCCACTCCTTGAATTTATCTTCTTCTTTTTTTAATAAAAAAAACTTAATAAGAAGATTAAAGATGGAGGCAGGCAGTGACGCCACTGTGTGTGATTACTGATGGGTACTTAATTGTCTTGTTTAGCGATAATTAAGTAGTTGTTTATGTTTATGATTTTAAATTAGTTTCTAAATGGGGGTTTCAAAAGCACCAAATGGGTTTTATATTGAAAACAGACAGTGACTTTAATTAATTAAGAAGGTGCAAATTGCAGTGCTTTGGATTACAGATCGAACAGTGGGTTGTTGACAGCGTTGTCTTCTTTATCTTGTGATGCATGGTTAAATTTGGAAGTAAGTGAGGCTATATTGTCACCCACCATAATGCTGATTTCACCTTTCAATTAAATAGAAAATTCAGTACGATTTTATTCTCTTGTTGAAGTATTTAATAGCACAAGCTCTATATATCTTTATTTTTTTGTTCAACCAAAAACAAAAACTAATTCGAGTCTGGAATCAACCAAGGACAATGACTAATGTCCTTGGTTGTGGCATTGGTAATCTCGTTCACTCAAGGGTTGCCCTTGTGTTAGGAGCCAATTTCTCACATTGGAATATAAGCCGATTTTGTAGAGTGCAAGTTCTGGTTTCGCCACACAACCGGCCGGAAGACAATTTCTCACATTGGAATATAAGCCGATTTTGTAGAGTGCAAGTTCTGGTTTCGCCACACAACCGGCCGGATTCCACGGTAGAGATGATTTATAGAATGTGCATTAAGATGATTGATTTTATGCATGAGCATAATATCGAGTCAATGAATAATGATAGGTTAACGTGCTAGTGTTGATTAAGTGGGTAGTTACCCCAACTGGGTTTGAACCATTATAAGGTGGCCACTTTGTAATCTTAGTCTAGAGTGTCATGGACGCCATAATACCATCTATTGAACATTCAAGAGTTTTATATCACTTCTTTCAAAATGACTACAATGGACATGAAGAACAATCTGTAGCTAGCTCAACCTCAATTCTAACATTTTCTCAACCTTCACATTCTTTCAAGAAAATCAAAGACACGAACGAAGCCATTATTTACTTTCCTTTTAGTTTATCAAGTTACATTAACAATATTTCTTTCTGGTTTAAACAGATCTGGGAGAGTTAGGAAGTACAAGTGGTAATCTTTCTCAGCAACCACATGACGAGCAGCCGGTTTCTAAAACACACCTCCACACTACTCAACAATTTAAACAGATCTGGCTTCATACATGTTTACAGTCTTAGGCTTCAAACAGCAAGCACTCCCATTTAGTTTCTGGGACTAGAAGCAAGAGTCTACAGATTTGTCAACAATATTCAACTCAACACTGGAAAGTTAGGTCCTATGAAGACATCAAAAGCCAATAATGTCACAGCTTCGGATGATCAAATTCATCAATGCATATTGGAATCATTCAACTAATCAATAGCCAAGTCAATAAGATTACCAATGCTACATTATACTAGGGAGTTTATTGATGGAGCAATAGTAAATAAGAATACAAGAACCAAACCTACCTTTAAGACTTCTAACTTCTCAACTAAGAATATCAAGTTCATAAAAGGTTTTTATGAGCTTGATGATTCACAAATAATATCAAGAAAATAGGAATGAAGGATAGAGATTTGTTATCCTAGTGAGACCATGAACCCTGTGCTGGGAAAAATTCTACATGAAGATGTATACTCTACAGGTTTCTACTTGGAATAAATCTATAGACTGTAGAAACCAGAATTCTCAGTTTAACGAGCCGTTTTCAGAGAATAAGCAACAGAGGGGTCCGTTCTTTATCCATACAGATGCAAAGTCTTAATTGTATCATGCTGGTTTCCTTTCTTACTCCCCTTAGATAATTAAAATATCATTTTCTTGTGCAAATGAAAAAACTATCAAAAGTTTATTCTGTTAAACATGCTTACAGTTACAGTTCTTGATATGGCATTTAGCATCCTCAGTCACAAGGGGTATTTTATAACTAAAGACAGAGGAAGATTTTTAAAAGGAGAAGCAGCCTGCACTCATGCGACAATAAGTCTTTGAATCTTGATCTAATATCTTTTACATTAAGAAACTTTTAAGTTCATACATTAAAGGGAGCGTCACAATTTTTAAGAGTTGGTATGTTCATTTCTTTTCCCTTAAACAAACTAACCTTGTCTTTTAGGAGACATAGATCATTTGACATTTTCATTGCCGATAAGTTTTCCCTCAGTTTTGTTTAGTGAGCCATGGACGACCCTTGCTGCTGCTATGGCAGAATCTGCCCTCTTGACAACTCCCTCAAGCTCTCCAACCTTCTCCGACAACAACACAACATTTGAGTTTGTTGACTGAACTAACTTGTTCGCAGTATCCAGAGCACTGCATAACTGGGATAATTTTAAAAAAAGAGAAAAAAAAAATCAGAATATATACAATATTTTAAAACTCGCAAGTTGGTAATTTCTTAACCCAAGCACAAAAATTTAGTGTTACTAAATGCTCTTCACAAATATTAAAAACCACTAATAAAATTTCAGAAGCTACCCACTGTATACATCAATCCAAAGTGCACCTCAATCAACAAAACATTCACGATGCACCCAATGAAAATCAATATGTTGTTGTACCAAATAAAAAGTAATATGCTATCCTTCTAACTTTCTGTCCATACAACTTTGAAGGAATTGCCAAATAGATTATGGGGCCTTTTTCTGTGAGGAGTGATTGTCAAATACATTACAGGGGGTTTCTTTCTGAAATCGTATAGACAGTACGTGCATCCATGATCTGGTTGTTATATATATTTTTGTCAAGTTTTTACATCAATTTTGTATGGTGTTATGAGGTTTTTCTTTCTACATACCCAGTTATGTGAATGATAATTGTAATGCAATAGATTTTACCATAAGGGAAAACATAAAAATGCTCATCCAAGCAGAATCTATATGTATGCATTTCATATTTTCTAATACGGATCATTCATCACCTTCAAAGTAAGAGCTGCCCATGAGTGGTCTGTACCTGCAAGCGCCTCGTTCAACTGCTCATAGTTCTCCTGAAGCAAACATGGTATATGGAATAAGGAACACTCCCATACAAATAAGAGAATGCAACACTATTTTTAAAATGCAGAAAACTGTTCTCTTTCAAAGCAGTTAGCAAAACCTTACAACAACATCATATACACCAACACTTTGGTGAAATTAACCAAATTTGCTCATAACCTCAAAAATCCAATTTCCATATTAAGTTATGCACTTTACCCATCTGCCTATTGAACACAATACATTTACAATAATCTGATAGCCATAGATAATTGAGTGAACAGTACTTGATGCATAACCAAGAGGTCCTCAAGTCCAAATTAGTATTTATTATTTTCTCTTACTGGGTTTCCAAATTTCCAAAAAAAATGTGAAAAACCCACCTAATTCTCAAAAGGGTTTTCTGTCATGCAAATGAATTCAAATAAATGAGAATCAAACAAGCAAGGAGATTGTGGAATAAGAAACCTGGAATAACTTGGTGAGGTCCAAGCTTGCAGTGGAGCTGGAAATAGGAGAAGATGAAGAGGGTTCATGTTGTTGTTGTGGTGGTGGTGGTGGTGAAGCATCTGATTCTCCCACATCGCTCAGCAGATCGCCTATGCATAGAAGAGGTCCTCCTACACCTCTCATCATCTTTCGATCCTCCTTCGATTTCACTCCTCTTCCTCTGTAACTCCATTATATCAGGTGGGCCGGAGTTTGGGCTTTCCTGCAATAGAGAAAGACCCGACCCGGCCCATGTAAGTAAGGACCGAATCTCGGGGCACAAAATCAAAAGTTAAACTCTGTGGACTCTGAAAGCTTCATCTTCTCGTCTCTGTGTCTGATCAGGTGAGCTTCAATTGCCGTACACTTCAATGGGTATCGATAAATTTTCAAACTTCAATCGCTATTTGTTCCTTCTTTTTTGTTCTGCTTTTGTTTTGGGCTTTTACACTGTGTCTAGGGTTTTGGTCGCCCATGTCCAGCATATTAGTTTGATATTTTTGTGTTCATTTGAAACACTTTCACAATCAAAATCTTCTCCAGAGCTTCATGGTTTGATTATTTAGTAAAATGAGGAAGAGAAGCTACAGTTTTTTAAACTGACAACAGAGTGAAACAGGATTGAGGTGGATTGCTTCTCATAAGCACAAAGTGTAGCTAAAAACAGAAGAATGGGAAGCCAAGAGCCTGTTAAGCACCTTGAGGATTGCTCAGTTTCCAAGTGAGTTTAGTCTTTCTTCCTTTACTTGTTTCCACTTTGTGCTTGAATCTTTACTATTTCTATGTTTGTGAAGTGTCACTGGTGCTCTCCAGATTTTTGAATTAATAAATTTCTTGTTTCAAATATCTTTACCATTTTAGAACTGTAGTGACTGTAATTCTTATTAAAGCATTGGGAATTCATTGGAAGTTTGTGGCCTTTTCTGGTTCTTAGTATGAATGAGATAAAAGTTAGACAAAATGATCCTTACCATGTGTTCCATGATGACATTATGGGATTGGAAGCAATGACATATTTTGTTGGATGTGTTAAGCAGTTATAAGATAAGCCAAGGTTTAACATAAGATTGTTCTACCTGTGTGATCATACTTTGTTAAATTTTCATTTCCTGAGCTCTTGAGGGTGCCATTTTTAAAGTGAGATGTACATGTTTTCCAAATTATTGAACAGTAAGATAGATCAACGCTTCTCTATGACAGATTTTGCCTATAGTCACTCGCATTTCTAACATTAACCAATGTTCTTAGTGTTATGAAGTGTTTTTCATCACATATCACGCATAGATCTTGGAACGGTTTAGTCATTATAGTATTACATATTAGTGTTCCACATGTCAAAAAGAATATTATATAAATTGATGTTGAAAATAAATTAACAGATTTCTATACACAACTTGTTTTGACCTATCTACTGAAACTTGTTTTCACAATTGCCCTTCAATATCGAAGCTATCCGTAGTACTGTGCTGCTTTGTTCCTCATTTTTATGTTTGTTTATGGAAATTGAGGCTTCTCATTTTGATTGTTTATCTTGTCCCATGGATCCATGCTTTTTCATGAATGAGAAAAATGTTGAGGCATTCATTTATTAGCCCTCACTATTTTGTATATCTTATGAACAATTATGAATAAGATTTCTGGAATTTTGTTCATTCTGTCATATCATTGGGCTTAACTTCAGTACAGCATATCAAATTCATTACACAATAGGTTCATAAGCTCTTGCTCTTTTTGGCATTGTAAAGACAATCTTTCCCGGTTTCATCTTGTCCTGGTTTATTTTTTACCTTGAAGAGTAGTTTAAGTGATACTCTACATTATTATCTGCAGCGCGTTGGGCACTTGGGTATTTTCAGTAGCTGGGGCCTTGCTAGCAATTCCAGTAGGGATAAAAAAGAAATCTTTAGCGCCACTTGTGTTCTTTGGCACAACTGGTACCATGCTTGACATTATTATGGGAATCACTCAGTGTGAAAGAGAACATGCAGAACGCCAAAAGCAGCTCTTAGAAGCCCAACATTCTGCAACTGATGCTTCTTTTGCTGAGACTGGAGCCGAGTCCTAGTCTTGTGCATATGGAGCAATAGGCCGCATTCTTGGCTGCTATCATTTTCTCTTCAGATTGCTTTGCTGTTAAAGCTAAATCCCTTTCTGTAATGATGGCTCTTTGTTTCTGTTCTGAGCTTTTTTGTTTCATGGGTTAATAATCACTCAGAAGTTGTTAATTATGAATGAGTTCATGCTAGATCTCTCTCGGATGAAACTTCCTTATGAAAATTTCTTTCAAGTTGAGCAGAAAATTTATGACTTATGAACCTTAATTGTTACAGCGTGAACATTAAATATTATCAGAAGATCATTTGGTTCTGAAGCATGGCATCTGCACAGAAACTATTTCAAACCTCCCATTTTCCTTATCCAAACCAGCATTTACATTGACTTCGAATCTGAAAGGGCTGTTCTTTCCTTGCTGCAGCAGTGTTTTCAGAAGAATCAACCAAAGCCCATAGAAGTCCATATTTTCCTGAAAACAGTGTTTTCCCTTTCCTTCCAAGCTCTTCTTACAAGAAACCAAGACTCCTTTGTCGGCAGCAGCTTTAGGTTGCCCGATGCTTTTTGAATTATGTATGGGAATCTCTTTCAAATCAACTTCTCCAGCATGCTTTCTCCCCCTATAGCATGAATAGACTCTTTCAGCCTTAATGTTCCCAAACAAGAGCTCTGCAGCCTTGTTTCTGACCAGGAGTGGCGCATAATCCGATTCGTCCCATACATACAACTGCAGATGGATCAAGAGAAATAGCCATGCTTAACATGCATATAAAAATCAAGAATTCAGAAAAACAACCAGACTGAAACAAATCCTGGTTGAAAGGTTAAACTAGAGGGAAAAAAAAGTTCACACCATGAAGGGCTTGTATATGAGGCTTATGACATGAAGGCGGTTCAAGCTTTCCGAACAATAAAGTGCAACTCCATTCTGCTTAAACATGTTCTCACTGCAGGGAAATGCACCAAAGAATTCACCATTGACATTAATTCAGCAACCAAAATCACACATTGCCATGGTACCAAGGCATAAGAAATCTCAGATGCTCTGATATCCATACCTGTCCAGCTCCAAAGGGGAACCACAAAGCTCACAGCCTGTACAAATGAGATCTGTTGCTAAACCGCCATCTCCTGTTTTATATAATCTCCTACTGACAAACATGTCTTCCTTGTCAAGTAACTCACGCAGAAAAATTTCTGCAACGGATGCATAAAAGACGGCCTTGCAAGAATCGGGTAGGCGTGATAATTGCGAAAGTGAAAAACAGTCCTTAGGCTGTTTCCTCTCTTCCGGGAGCTTCCAGTTTTTTGAGAGTTGCCCCTTCTGCAGCTGACAGCCATGGAACTCATGAGTTGTGTTGCTCTTCTTCACCCATTCTACTACCTTTCTAAGCTTTTCTTTTGTTGCTATCCCAACTCTACACTCCTCTATCAAGTCATTGACACCTAAATATTAAAACAGCAACCTCTTACACTTTGGCCTCAAAAAGTTATGAGCATGTAACGTCTTTTGCTAGACAATCTAACATGTTATGTTGTCAGACTATCAATCAAGATTATTCTTTTTGTAAATTCTTTTCGTAAAAAGAAGATCCCGATTCACAACCTAACAACATGTCGGACATTACACACT